GTTGGGTTAGTCCATATTTGACCCAAAGTTGGGTTGAAACAACCCAGCATTTTTTAGAGGTTACTGAATTATAAAATCCATTGATAATACTGAAAATGATGACACTTCCTGGAAAATGATGTCATTATGGAACTGTCTTTTTTAGACTAGAAAAGCCTAACAGGATAAAAAGTAATGTTGAGATCGGCGCCAATAGCCTCGTGGGCAGCATGCCGACATCTAGGGCCACTGCACTTCGGGTGTCCCCGAGTTCGAGTCCTGGCTTGCGGACCTTTCACAATAACATTTTGCTTCCTGTCTAGCTACTGTCCTGTCATAATAAAGGCAAATAACACTTTAAAAAAAATTATTTAAATTGAGGACACAGGAAAAAGCAATAAATAGATTATTAATTAAAGTAATACTGCTAAGAAAACTTTTTGTATGAATCATTAGAGAAAGTGGGAAAAAATTAAGAAACACCTGCAATATTCCTAATAAACTGTCAGTTTCTCAAGTCAGAATTTGCAGAAAACCCAGGGACACAACTATAATGACAACAGCCAATAAAACCAAAATGCTGAAATAATTTAAAATATAGCCGTTTACTTAATTGTCATAGGGTGTGGTAAAAGAAAATCAAGTAATATGATTTCCAACTTTAACAATTGTGGACTTTTTTTTTGTTGTCTAGTATAAAGTAATATTATATGATAGGGACATCAAAATATAGGGCATAGGAATGACTAAAAATGGATTGCAAATGGCATTTTATATTGTCTTAAATTATCCCATTACTCTTTTTCACAGTGACTAAATGCATATTATAGAGCCGTTATATATATGGCATTTTTTCACTATTATTTAATAACATTGGCTTTGATAAAAGAATAGTGCTGACTCTGAGCGTCAGACATGGCTACTGTACATGTGTCTGCTGCCCTTAAAACACACAATGTACCAGATCATTAAAGAAAACGGATCTCGTTTAACTCACTGATTCATGAAACTGCAGAGAGAGCGAGAGAGACTGTGAGTGTCAGGAATCCTTTATTAAGTTCCAAGACGCAGTCATTAAGATTACAGTTGAACAGTGATTCACAAACATCATGTACTGTATTTTCTAAATGTGCGAATCTATGGAGAATTATGGTTATTCAGCAACCAAGCCAATCCCTCCAAACACACACACACACACACACACAGTCAAAGTGCAACAATCTCAGCATATTAAAGTAGTCGGTTAGGCGACAGTTGCTAAGTTGAAGCAACAGTTTGAGCGAAGCAGACACTGGAACGCTTACTGAGATTGACTCTGGCCTTTTAGCTGTCAGCACAAAAGGGCTGAGCCCTCACAAACATATTATTACTGTCACTAAATATTCCCTCAATGAAAAGAAAAGTTTAACACCATCTCTACCAAGTGCAATGACACTGGATCTAACAGCTTAACCATGACCTGCAGTTAAACCCCATGTGTTTGTCAAAATATGATCAGAGTCTAAATACTGTATATGAACATCATGCTAGAAAAATGCTTAAAGTGGCACAGGTAGGTGGCAGGGATTTTAATGGAAAACTAATATACTGTAAATGGACAATTCCATTTCTGACTTCTGATGGGTCAATAAAGCATTCCAAGTGCTAACACATAATACACCATTTTTTAAAATATTTTTATTGTTTAGCATGTATTTTATAGAAGTGAAGCTGTGCTCTATTGTGAATATAATCACAGCTAAAATCCAGTGTTAATGTATATATTTTTTTATCATGCATGATAAATATGAACGAAAGCGTTCAAAAGCAAAAAAAATAAAAATAAAACAAATGGTGCAACAGTTGGCGAACGCATTAGAAGACAATACATTAAAAAAGAGTTACCCAGCCGGATAAGGCAAATGCACATGGAAGTAAGTTGACTTATGCCCACTTGTGTTCTTTTCATAGACAAAATGTCCACATGGTGTTCCAAGTCCTTGTGTATTGTGGGGGAGAGAAGCAGTGAAAAACCTCAGTCACTTCAGGGTAATGCAAATGACTTTAATATGTTAAGAAGATTAAAGTGGATAAATCTCTAGATAAATTTTTTTGAAAAGCCACATAAACCTCTAGTGTTTTTATTTTGCAAGGGGAGGGTTGGATATACGTGAGTCAGTTTGGGATGATCAACACAAAAACCTTTCCGAAACGCGATGCCATTGGCTGAGGAAAATTGGGCTTATTCGAGATTTTGCATTTTAAGCTTCTTGGATGTAAGACCGTCCCACATCTTTCCTATTATTTCTAAACACCAACCCTTAGAACAACAAAAAGCTACCGGCAGACATAGGTCACAATCTGCTATCTACACGCTCTCTCTCGAATTAGGCTTGGTTGTCTTCTTCAGCTTTTGTCAAAGAGGTCTTAAAGATGGTGAGCTCTGAACTACTTTTGCAGTACTCCTGTGAAAGTAAGTACACACGCAGCCTGCTGAATACAGAATAAACTATACTACTGTTTCTCATGTTATAGTTAACAAATCAAGTGTTTTGTTATAGGTGAGCTTTCTTGGTGATGCAATCAACAAAACGTATTTTTTGAGGACACGAAATGGCAACCGACTGCAGCAAGTGGCCAAAGTGTTTGTGACGGTAGAACATTGCTTAAAAATGTACAGATGCCATAGCAAAAATATGAGAGTGTGAAAAATGAAAGAGAGAAATGGAACAAAATAACATAAAAGGATTAAGAAATGATTTGCATAACATTTCCGTTACTTCCAAAGCGCAGGATCAGAGACATGACAGGGACGTGATGACTGCTGAGTCTTATCGTCAACCACATTCTCTTCAAGGCACAAAGCTAGTCAAGATCAATCACAGTTAATTTCGCAATTAAAGATATAACCATCAAGAGGATCTCTTCAGCTTGCTTCTGGGATCCAAAATCTGAAGCATATGAACATGTTTATTGAATCACATTCCCTTCACATTTCTTAAGATACTGAGAATTTTCGCTGTCCCAACCACCCGGTAAAATGCACAAGAGATGATATCACGATAATCTGAAACATAAGTGAGTTATGTTCAAGTGTGATATGTGCCATGCGCTTACTAGTATACTTATTTGCTCTGATCAAAAAGACAATATCTAACCAGCTGGGTTGCTGCCAATGAAAATCAGATTCAGCTCGTAATGACCACAAAACAACATCAACAACAACATGCCCAGTAAGTACTAAAAAATTTAACCAACAACAGAAAATATGCAGGAGAAGAAAAAGAGAAAATGGTAACCCTGAAGGAAGGACAGAAGAGAAGGAAGAAATGAAAGAAGTGGAGTGGAAGTAGGAAAGAAAGGAAGTGGAATGCAAGAAAGAAAGAAAGTGAAATGGAAGTAGGGAAGGAAGAATGGAATTGAAGTAAGAAGTTTAAAGAAAGAGAAAAGGAAGGAATGAAGAAAGTGGAATAGAAGTAGGAAAAGAGGAAGGAAGGAAGGAAGTGGAATAGAAGTAGGAAAGGAAATAAGTGGAAAGCAAGATAGGAAGGAAATAAGGAGAGGAGTGGAAAGGAAGAGGAAAAGAAGGAATGAAGAAAGTGGAATGGAAGTAGGAAAAGGAAGGAAGTGGAATGGAAGTAGTAAAGAAAGTGTAAAACAAGATAGAAAGGAAGTGAAAAAAGTAGGAAAGGGAGATTGGAATTGAAGTAGGAAATAAGGAAGCTGAAAAGAGGGAAGGAGGGAATGAAGAAAGTGGAATGGACGTAGAAAAGGAAGAAAGTGGAAATCAAGATAGGAAGGAAGGAAGGAGAAAAAAAATGAAGAAAGTGGATTGGGAGTAGAAAAGGAAGTGGAAAGCAAGATAGGAAGGAAGTAGGTAAGGAAGGAAGGAAGTGGAAATGACAAAAAAGAGGAAAATAAGGAATACAGAAAGTGGAATGGAAGTATACGAAAGGAATAAGTGGAAACCAAGATAGGAAGGAAGGAAAGAAAGAAAGAAGGAAGGAAGAAAGTGGAAAGGAAGGGGAAAGAAAGTAATGAAGAAAGTGTAATGGAAGTAGTAAAGGAAAGAATGAAGTAAAAAGGAACTTCTGCAAATAGGTTTCATTAATTTTAATTAGTTTTTAATTCATTTTAAAGTAAACATTTCTTAAACACTTTGAAAAAAGGTCCACACTTTGATCTTATTACTGATGAGAATAATCACCGATTCAAAAAACAAAGCTTAACAGTTAGTGCACAAGCACCAGACACATTGAGCTGTGGTGCTCATGCAGGAAATTCAAGTTTGAGTTCAAGCGTAGACTGCATCATGCTCCATTTCTCCACTTCTCTCCATTCTAGTGTCATTGAGTAAAATGGACCTACAACACTAAAACAAAAAAGGCAAATGTTGTTAAATCAAGTTTCAGAAGTTGCAAAAGTTAGAAAGTTGCAAGTGACTTTGATATGAATGCAGTCTCACAGAAAAGAAGATTACACACGGCTCATTAAATACACTGTCCCTTCTTTCTCACAGTTCCCACAGAACTACGGATCTGCCAAGCTTCTCTTGTTCTCTCGTGTTTATCTGAGGAAACAATATCTTTGCCAAGAGAAAAGGGGGATGGCGGGAAGACAGAGACAGTGAAAGTTTGTAAAAGGCCCCAGGGCTCTTTCAGGACCAGGTGAATCAGTGGGCTGGGACAGAGGTGCATGGAGTGGGCGGTAGGGAAGAATTACGGCAAATCTTCAGAAACACATGCATTTAATTCCTGTAAAATGAATGCAAATCCTAAACTTTTTAAAACTTGAAAACTCTTATAGGAGTACTGAGGGAAAAGAAGTTTATGAACAGCACTGAAGTTCTAAATTCGCTCGCCGATGATCATTAAACAAGGTAACGTGTCGAAGCCGCGGCCCAGCGGGTAGCACGCGTCGTCCGGCACGTCGAGCGGCACTAATGCGGGTGCGAATTTGGCTCACGTCATTTCCCGATCCATCTTCCTCGCGTCATTTCCTGTCCTCTCTAAACGAAAGTGTCAAGAAGGCCCAAAAGCCAAAAAGGCAACATTACTTCAACCTTTTGTAACATCACAGCATGCAGGGCATCAAATGCACTGTAACGGAATGTCACAGTCTTTGCACCTAAGTGAACGAGACACCCACTCAAACAGACACCCGGCAACATCAGCCTGCAACAATATCAGCTCACAATTCACATTAGAGATGGCATTACATATTTCTGACAGGCTTGCTTTTACACGCAGAACTCCTCAAATGGGATTGGGCAGATCCCTCTAAACAGCTTGCAGCCGAGTGGCATTTTGTCCCCATTTCAGCAACGGTTCTGCCAGATATGATCCAGCATCTAGTTAACGCAAGTGTTAGGCTAATTACTTTAACTGCTTGAGCCTGGCCTCCGATGCTCCGTGCAGCATCAATTCTCCGGCAACCGCTCGGCGGTTTCCAGGCTTCGTATAAATAGAAATTTAATTTCTGTATGTTTATCCTGGCATCCTCTGCGGCAAAGGCATATTCCCGAGCCTGATGGATTATTGCATCTTTGAACTTTAAAATATCTGTCAATGTAGGGAAAAGGCACAAAGTAGAATCTCGACTTTAATGAGATTTGTAAGTGACAAACTAGAGATTAATGGTGTAAATCCATGTAATTCCATCTTTCCAAATGTGTCTCCCATACCTTCTCGTCTGACGTCTCTCTGTTTGTCTTTTCTCTCTGCTGAGGTCTAGGTTTGATGTAAAGCGGATATTTAAATGAAGGTGAAGAAGCATGCCATTATGAAGAATCTTAATAAAGATGCATTGTTTAAATTAGAAGAGTGCACTAGTCGTTTGAAAGCTGATGGAAAAACTGAAAGATAAATAACTTGAACAACCAGTGAGCTAATAAGTAAATATAGTAAAATAAAAATACAACTGGAAGTGTGGCCTAATATTGTTATATACTAAGTCAAAAACTATGCACTACCTTTCAGAAGTTTGCAAAAATGACATTTTTAAAATATTTTTGGAGGAAGTATTTTATGTTCATCAAGGCTGCATTTATTTGATTAAAAATATATTTAAAAAATTAAAATGTAATGTATTCCTGTCACGCAAAGCTGAATTTTCAGCATCATTACTCCAGTCTTCAGTATCATTCTAATACACTGATTCGGTCCTCAGGAAATAGTTTTTTATTATTATCATTATGTTTTTTTATATATATATTATTATTATTATTAAAAACTGTGAATAACAATCCAAACTTTTCACTGCATATATTATCTGAAGTAAACAGCCTACTGAAAGATACTAATATTACACTAAAGAATAATAAAAATGTGTATAAGTAATGCAAGCAACACAACCTAAAGTGTAAATTCGATAACAGAAGTAAAAAACTGAGAAAAATCAGTGAAAAATTGTGATCATGTGTTTATCATGTAAAAAAGCTTCTATTTAGATTCTATCTAATTAGATTTTTACATTAATAATATTATGATCAGTATAATAATTTTATACTGATGATTCTAACAACTTTATACTTGATTAAAATAATAATAATAACAATAATAATAATAATAATAATAAAATGTTATTTGGTACACCTCTGTTTTGATTTAATGACAGTGGCACTCAATGAACTCCACAATGATGATGATGATGATGATGATGGTGATGATGATGATGGTGATGATGATGGTGATGGTGATGGTGATGGTGATGATGGTGATGATGATGTTGATGGTGATGATGATGATAATAGTGATGGTAGTGATGATGTTGATGGTGATGATGATGATGTTGATGGTGATGATGATGGTGATGATGGTGATGATGATGATGATAATAGTGATGGTAGTGATGATGATGATGGTGATGGTGATGAAGGCGAACGCTGCTCTGGTGAAGCAGATGGAAGCAGGACAGTAGAAGAGCTCATGTTTCTTCAGCTCAATTGCTGTGAGGCTCTTTTATTAGCGCTGATAGCATCATGATGAGCTAATGTTCATATTCTCCAAGGAGCATCTTGTGCTTCAACTGAAACAAGAACATCTGACCAAGTCACATAATTAATGACACAACATTACTAATGTGATTAGCAGTGTTGGGGAAAGTTACTTTTAAAAGTAATGCATTACAATATTGCGTTACTTCCTAAAAAAGTAACGAATTACGGTACTTAGTTACTTTTTATTGAAAGTAATGCGTTACGTTACTTTTGAGTTACTTTTTCAATCTGGGCTGGGCTTGCTTGTTTGCTTTTAATATAAAAAGTTATATTTTTGGCAAATATAAAAGCCCTTTCACACCAAAAGTCTGAAGGCTGAAGGAAATGCAAATTCATGTCTGTACAGTAGAACACAGAAGAAGAAAGTTCAACACTCTTCAGCAATAAAAAAAGAAGAAGAAATGTTAGTTTATCTTGTGTAAGTTTTGCTTATTAGTATAGTTGAATTGCCGAAGGTCAGGTCAGCAGCAAATTGGTTAATAAAATGAGTAAAAAAGTAACGAATTACGGTACTTAGTTACTTTTTATTGAAAGTAATGCGTTACGTTACTTTTGAGTTACTTTTTCAATCTGGGCTGGGCTTGCTTGTTTGCTTTTAATATAAAAAGTTATATTTTTGGCAAATATAAAAGCCCTTTCACACCAAAAGTCTGAAGGCTGAAGGAAATGCAAATTCACGTCTGTACAGTAGAAGAAGAAAGTTCAACACTCTTCAGCAATAAAAAAAGAAGAAGAAATGTTAGTTTGTGTAATTTTTGCTTATTAGTATGGTTGAATTGGATCACTGAAGGTCAGCAGCAAATCGGTTAATAAAATGGGATTAAATACATAAAGGCTCGCGTTACTTGTAATGCATTACCCCAACACTGGTGATTAGTAACCTAGAACTAGAATTTATTTTACATCATACCCTTTTCTTAAATTTGCCATAATCCTAAAACTACGGGTTTTTAATGTTTACAGATTTTAAAGAAGTCTAAAAAATCTAGAAAAATGAAGCAAGGTAAAACAAGACAGAAACAGAATGAAACAGAATTAAAGTACATGGAGAAGGCCAAAGACGTGGAGATGGAGATGTATAATGTCTATGAGGTCAAAGTTCAGAAGCATCTCAGCGCTGACCCTTCCCGCGGGATCCGCTTCCCGAACCTCACTATGGAATCTGTACGTTCATGACGTATCCAGTCTGAGAGAGTCCTTATACAACATGTAAATCATCTGAGTGTGTGGAAACAAGGATTATGTGGCTTACTGCCTCTCTCAGCATTCAACTGAATATTCATATCAATCCTTCGCCTCTAGTAAAGAGTAGCAGCAGATGTTGGCAGTGTCACATCCCCGGTGTGATTCATAGGCATTGTGTAAGAGCACCTGATGATGACTGTATAAATGAGGTCCAGTGTCAAAGCAATATGCTTGTTATCATGACAAACAGATCCACTGGGGAGAAAGGGAGAGACCTGGTTTCTATCCTGAATAAGAGCCTGTAATCCTACACGCCCGAGACGCCCACCTGGTTATGGCAGATTTACTATTAAACAGATAACAGTGACCTTCTTTCATTCATGCAGTGGATCTCATCTAGCGGCAGGGTTTGGCAAAATTGGGAATTTGAAAATTGGCTCCATTCCAGTGCATGGCAATTCAGTTTCACAGAACTGGACACACCCAGAAATGCAAGATTTTTGAGAAAAAAAAATTATAATTAATAATCTGAAGCAGAAATCACACATTCATAAGGCTAAATTGTATTTATCCAACTGAGTCACACCTTCTGCAGACCATTTGCTTTGAACTGTTACCACCCTGTCGTTCCAAAATCACATGATGATTGTAGAACAATAAGTTACCAAAAATGTCATAGCCGCTCTTCTCCAAATGCTGAACACTGGCTGTCAAATTTTGTTGCAGTTCAGTTTCACAGAACTGGACAGTTTTGCTTAGTTTATTCTAAAAAGTTTAATTCATTATTTTATTATATACATACATTAATTAATTAATTAATTAATATTTTAAATGTATAATAATAATACTTATTATTATTTTAAATCTTTATTTAAAACACAAATTTTTGCTTAGTTCATTAAAAAAAACTTTTTAAAGAGAAAAGAAAAATAATAAAAAATAATATAATAATAGTATATAGTAATTCAATATAACAAAATGATATTATATTAAAACAGCTTCTTGGGTGGTCCATTTAAGACCAAGACTTAAGACTTTCAATCATGTTTTAATTAGTTTCAATCTTGTAAGCCTGCTTCATGTTAACTGGCTTCATTTTTAAGAATTTGGAACATTACGGAAATGGAGTAAAATGTGGATTCATTGTCCATAAAATATTACATTTAAATTAATTAAATATAATAATGTGT